ATTTATTTATTTATTTATATCTTTTTGAGACAGGGTCGCTTTATGCAGTTCAGGCTGGCCTTGAGCTCACTTTGTAGCCCAGACTGGCCTCGAGCTTGTAATGATCCTCCTGCCTCAGCCTCCCCAGGGCTGGGATTATAGGGGTGCACCACCACGGCTGGCTTATTTGTATATTTTAAATATACATAATGATCACATTCATCATAGGGAATTTGTACCTGTACATGATATATCTTACTTCCTCTTTTTCCCATTGCCCTTGCCTCCCTTCAACCCCTCTTCCCTTCCTTATTTATAAAAGCTTTGTTTCCATTTTTTCCTTCTATTCTCTTGTCTTGTCCCTTCTTTCCTTTCCCCCTCCCCCTCCCTTGTTCGCCTTCTTATTTGAAGATTTTCCTCCCATTTTCCAGTATCTATTATACATTTTGGTCCTTATTTACACTCTCAGTTTCTCATGCCAGAGAAACCATGTGATATTTCAACATGTGTGTCCACTTTATTTCACTTAAGAGTATGGTCTCAAGGTGCATCCATTTAGCTAGAAATGTCACAAGCTTATCCTTTTTATGGTGGAGTAGTACTCCATGTATAAAAAAACCACATCTTCTTTTTCTATTCATCATTTATGGGCATTTGGGCTGTTTCCAGGATTTAGCTATTACAAAGTGTGCCATTGGTTGTGTATATAGAGCTGTGATGTGATATTTTTAATTCTTTTTTTTTTTTGGTACTGGGAATCAAGTTCAGGACATCATGCTTGCCAGGCAGGCACTGTGTGATAGAGCTATATTCCCAGCCCTGATGCTTTGAATTCTTTCAGGAAGATACCAAGAAGGGGAATAGCTGATACCGATTGAATTCTTCAGGATACTGATTGAATACTGATTGAATACTTCAGGAAGATACCAAGAAGGGTTGAATGGAACCTCTAGTTTTAGTTTTTTGAGGCATCTCCACACTGATTTCCACTGTGGTTGCACCAGTCTACCCTCCCACCAACAGTGGACAAGGGTTCCTTTTTCCCCACAGACCCACCAGCATTTGTTATTGGTTGACTTCTTGATGATAGTCATTCTTTCTGGAGTGAGATGGGATCTCAGTGATGTTTCAATTTGCATCTTTTGAATTACCAGCAATGTTGAACATTTTTTTCATATATTTATTTGCCATATGTACTTCTTTGGAGAAGTTTCTATTTATTTTGGATGCCCATTTTTGGATTGGGTCTTTAAATTTGGGCAGTCTGATTTTTCTGAGTTCGTTATGTAGTCTAGATATTAGTCTTTGTCTGAGGAACAGCTGGCAAAATTTTTTCCCCACACTGTGGGTTGTAAGAACTAGAAAATTAATATTTGATATAACAATGTATTATACCTCTTCTTTCATGGTTCTTATCTCCCAATTTTGAATAGAAAATGTTCAAACTTTTTTCTTTCTATATTATTTTTCTCACTGCAGTGGCTTTAGGTACC